CAAAGCACGGCCAATATGAGCTTAAGTGTTAGGCTACAGCGTAGGGATAATTCTTGCTAATAGCGATCTGCAAGTTTAGTGCAAAAACGCATGATCGCACCGGAGAGTCTGGTGCGTTCCAACCTGAGTCTGCATTGCTTACATGCAAAAAACGCATAAAAATTTTCCCCTGTAAATGGAAATTGTCGTATAAAAACCCGCCGTCTGCAGGGGATTTCCTCATTTATGAAGCTGATGCTTAATTAAAACTGAGAGCGAATAATTTCCACTGTGGGGTGTGAACTAAGCGAAAAGAGAGGTGTACTTGATGCATAGAATGGATCAGCTTTTAAATATGTGAGATACCGGAGGCAAAAAAAGCAGAGGTATAAATTCTGTGCATGGGGGCAAGCTGCTTTTAGCAACATATCGAAATAGTGTGAAATTGTTGTGTAAATTCAATCGAATCTCTTCATAAACTGGAAAATCCCTTACTGAAGACAAGTTTTGTAAGACAATTTCCAGTCACTTAAGCTCAGTATTTGTTTGCTTTCACTTTTTCTTTTTGCTTTTATTCACAGGTTCCGTTTTTTTCGCCTTTTTCGTAAGGGGTTGCTTCAGTTTGCTTTTCCTTGTACTGCTGTTTTGTCTCTTTCCCTTTACTGCTGTTTCTACTTTTTGCCTCGAAATCCTGACTAGTGCTTTTGTTTCCCTCCTTTATTCTGTTTTTAGTTCCATTCACTTTTGATTTTGCGAAGGTGACTGCAGTTAAAAACAAAATTAAAAAAAACAGATTAATTGCATTCGCTTTTGAGTTAACACAAAATGCATTCGCTTTTGAGTTTGCGATAAAATTGAGCATTTTTCATGTGCTCAAATGCAAGGAATTTCATCCCCAAACTGGTTAGGGCTACACATGAGTGCATAACGTCCCTGCAAAGCTTTAGCTTCGCAGCTTGGACGGTAAGCGAAATGGCGAGTTTGCTACAGATATCTTTGAAGTGCCCTAGTTCGTGACGCAGTTGCAAATCCAAACTCGATCTAGGTATACGATTTTCCATATGGGCGATAAATATTCTGATATAATTTCAACTATTGTTTTCCGTTTAGTTTCCGATAGCACGGTACTAGCTGAAAATTCCGTGTGACTGTGCGCGCAGTGTAACAGTGCCCGATAGCTGGATTTGAAACCTCTGGCTCGTATATGCGCAGGGTATATCCCTGCAAGGTTTTAGCTTTCTGTCCTGCCTGTTTCACGAAATCGTTTTCCCCCAAAGAAATCTGCATAATTTTTTAGTGGATCCATAAGCGAGATCTAGAAGCGTATGAATGATGATTTTAAAATGGGAGGGTGACAAATGGTGTAAGGATGTGCCCCAAGTTTCAGCCTTCTATCTTTCCTGATTGCTGTGTTGAAAAACAATGACAAAGCTCACTCTCTTTTGAACACACACACATGGACGATCTCTCGAAAATAGGTTTTTGCTCTCTTCAGCAGCAATATAGCGCTGCACAGTAAAAATGCGTAAAAATGGCAACCTCAGCAAGGAAAAAGCATTCCAGATGATAAACTTACAAAATACTTAAGTTGTTTACAGAGTGTGAACGTGCGGATTTACAAACCAGCAAGTTTTTGCGAAAATCTATTTCAATGTTATTGACTTCCCAAGCATACAATTATAAAATATTTCGTTGAAAAAGGCGCTCATAAATGAATCACAATCCCTTTTTCTGGCAAATAGCGCCAGCGTTTCCCACGTAGCTGTTGCAGCCCTGATCATCCCATTCCCCTTTGTTACCCCAGCGATTCACCACGACACAAGTAACATCGTGCGAACAGCAGCCATCTGGTTGTGACGGTCCCCAATTCGTAAAAGTGACCGGAGTGTATCCGAAAGGTTTGTCCTCTGCTGGCATCATCCATTTGTAACCAACCTTACGAACACCGATCCAGAATGGTTCAGATTTTCTACCATGGAGTTTTTCAGCATAGATTCCTTCAAAAAACCAAAACAACTTCAGCTGCGCTGCATTTAGAGAAATTAACGAAAATGCAACGGTCTGCAATGTTTTGACTTTTTTTTACAATTTTTGCTCGATATTTTGGTAGTTTTATGCCACTCTCAGTTTTTTGTAGGCAATCCCTGTCATCGATGCTTTATGCGTTGCCGCATAAAACGAAAAGGGTCTTGGCAAAGTCATATCTCCCTGGCTATTTCAGTCTAGAACCACAAAATTTAGAAGACCAAGGCTATTAGATCATAAACCGTGTATGAAACCAAACACGGGTAGCGATTATGCGTTTTGACGCTAAACATGAAGTAGTCAAACCATCAACAGCATGAATGGATGTCGCTTTACAATTTAACACGGCAGTTCAACACATTCTGGCCTTTTCTTGCATGCGAAGAGAAGAGGGCATCGGCTGTGGCGGTAGTTTTGCAGAAGGGGCCGTATAAAACTTAAGCTCCAGCACGAATGATCACCGCAAATTTAATTGGTTATCGGTAGTTCATCAAACCCAAGCGTAATAAGCAGCCGAAAATTTATGATTTTTTGTTTGTACTTGGGCATGAAGCATTTCCTTAAAAGACTATTTTCCTAGCTTTTCTATTTCTCCGATTATTAAATTTCATGAGGGAATTTCCAAATGTCTGTTCATGAAATGCGAACACACTAGAAAGCTGGATTTGATCGTGTGTAAGTAGGGGACGTCCCCCTAAAAGTTCAGCTTTCCAGCTTTTCTCGTGCCCGATCTGGCAATCTCCTTGCGTGACATACAGGCGTGCGTGAAAGTTGGCATCACGCTCAGGGATTGTTCTTGGCCAGGATACAAGCTGACAAAATTTTAGCATCAAATTGTGCCTGGTTGCCAAGTAGAAATACTAGGACGCAAACACACACACATAGTTGCCATAACATATGTTTTTACTGCCTTTTGCAGCACTCTATCGCTGTCCCGCAAAAAAAGCATAAAGCTAAAATGTAACTTCGGATTCCTCCGTATCTCGACTTTGCTGTCAGATTCTCGTTTAGGACAGCTCTATAATTCAGAGCTAATATTTGGGTCCTGATTCGTCATTTACTGCGAAGTTAATGACCCGAGACAAGCTTTCAGGCTTCATTGCGATTATACTCAAAGTGGATCAAGTTCAAGCAAAAGCAAATGTTTTAATTCTCGAACGGGACAACTCAGGTGGCTTCGATGTTTTTCATAAGCTAGGCAGGCCAAAAAATTCCCAGCACTGTGCGGGTTTGAGCATAAAAACAACAAGCGCCGAAAACTGCGAAAGAGCGTGATTTTGTTACCTTCGTGGTACGTGCTTGGACACCTTTATCACTTACTTGCCATCGTATAAACTTGGTTCTGCTCATCGGCTACTGAATGTAAACTTACTTCGTATAAACATATCTTGCGCTGCATCTTGGGGTGCGGCAACAGACGCATTCAAAGAAAGGCATTTTTGATAAACGTCCGTATATGTCACGTATCCATAAATCTGAACCACAATTGAAATATTTTAGAATGATTGTTACAGGAAATAAGTATAATTGGAAATGATGAAGAAAAATATGCCTTGCAAAGTGTAGACGCCAGAAGGTTACCTTCCTGGCGAATCAAAATTGTTCATACAAGAAAAATTACTAGAGACATAGCTCAGTTAGAAGCCGAGCGCATTCGTGCAAATTTGAACTGCTTTACTTTGTTTTAAATCGGGTCTTGGAAGCGGAGTTTTTAGCAACGTGAAAGAACCTGGTTTCTCGCTGCAAGAGTAAGCTGGAACGCACTAGGCATGCCGTTGCGATCATGTGTTTTTGCACTAAACTGGCGGGTCGCTAATAGCAGGAATAATCCCTGCGCTGCAATCAAATACCTGGGCGCATGTTGGCCATGCTTTGGTTTTTTCCGGCATGCAGCAGAATGGGCATCGGTTGGGATGAGGGTGCTGCGTTATAGAGCAGCATGGAGCCGCAGATACATGTTTACCAGCTTTTTGCATGAAGCTCGGCCGTTTTTTCGGTAAATGCTAGCTTTTTGAAGAAATGAAAATGTAAATTTTTTGAAAAAATGCAAATTTTCAGTTTACTAAAAGGTGGAAGTACTGCTCGAGCGGCCGTTTGTCAAAAAACTAATGTTCATTTACATACTTGCTTGAGGGCGGTCATTTGCTGCAAAACGCACTCGTTCTGATTTTTCGGTAAAGTTCAGTATTTCTCATGCCTACTTGCAGGGAATTCCACTTCCTCCCCCCC